AAAATTGCTCCAACTGTTCAGACTTGAATGGTTGCATCCCAAGATTAAGTGAAGAGCACAAAAGAGAACTTGATGAATCAGAAGATACAGAAGGAGGCAGAAATTCGGTAGACCTCTTCCAGACCTTACAAATACCCTTTGTGAAATCACAGGGCATTTGTAACACCCCTTTCTCAGGGTAGATGCACCCACATAAAATATTCCAGAGAAACCTGTACTTCTAAAAATTGTCTTTGGGATTTGATTACGGTATCACTGCGACTCTCTGTGAACATAAGAATTGAGAGGAGCTTGTGAATGCTCTGTGAAAATGCTACCATTGTTGAGGAGAGTGTGTCCTGTGGAATGCCCTGACCATTTGGCTCCACATCAAGTGTAGAGCGTACAAGTGTGAAAAGGGAAGTGATTTTTAAATATATTTCCTTCATTGCTTTGACTCTTGGCCCATTGCATATTGGCCTTTTGGTTTTTATATTCGAGAGACAAAAAGCATAAATTCAACTGAGTTCTGGTAGCCAAAGAAAATTACATTATAAACGTCAACTGCCAGTTGTACTATTTCTTTCCTATTTTGCAACCAATATAACATATCAAATTTCTCTCCATTAGGAGTATACATTTTAAAAGCTGTATATAGTGTATTGAAATGTTTCCCCAGTCTTACAACTACTACAGAGTTAGCCTGGAAAAAGCTGCCATCAGGATGCCACAATTTTTATTTTTATTTTTAATTTATTTATGATAGCTACAGAGAGAGAGAGAGAGAGAGAGAGGCAGAGGACACAGGCAGAGGGAGAAGCAGGCTCCATGCATCGGGAGCCCGACGTGGGATTCAATCCCGGGTCTCCAGGATCGCGCCCTGGGCCAAAGGCAGGCGCCAAACCGCTGCGCCACCCAGGGATCCCCAGGATGCCACAATTTTTAACTATGAACTGTATTCTCAAAATACCATAAGTAGATTCTAGGTATATAACAGAGTTGCCTTTCTGTGATTGTGAAATCTAGGGATTTGATGTGAGAATAAAATTAAGGCTGATTTTATTGTTTTCGTAGGAAGCTCATCTATGCGATCCATTAAAAATTAAATGCAAGGGACCATAAAAGTGAAAAAGTAGCTTTCTAATATTTTTCATGACTGTCTCAAAGAAAGATAAAGATTTATTTTCTGACACTGGACAGTGACTACAGCCAGGACTAGAGAAAAGTGATCTCCCTTGGGTTGTCTGCAGTCTGCACTTTGACTTCCTCCTCTTGGCCCAATTTAGTCCAGACATTTCAACAGCTTGACTAAGCCTCATCACCATTTAGCTGCCAAATTCGGTGGCTGCCAATATCACTAGTAGCTTTTTAAGTACACCTGTTGCCAGCACTATGTTTGTGAGTCAAGAAGACTAGACATTTCTGGTCTTACTCTAGTGGCTAGGATCTTTTTTCAAAGGAAAATTATTTTTAATATTACCTCACTATCCTTCATTTGGGAAAACCTTTTTTTTTTTTTTTTTTCTAGCAAGTTTCGCTCCTTATGGAGAAGTTGCATTTACAATGAACACGGTAGATAACGTCTGATCTGGTTTAGCCTACGGATAATCAACAATATTGGTAATCAGTACTATGTTTAATTTTTATTTTTAATTGTGTGGGGCCAGCAAAGTTAAATGAATAATAAAATGTGAAACTTAGTGTAAGCTGACAGGCTTTAAGTATAATAATCAAGTATCATTTACAGCAAAGCTAACCTGATGGTTAATGGTATGTATCGTGGGGTAATTAGGATAAACGTACCTCCTATAAAGGACTGTAATTGGTGCATTTCATGGAGCCGAACACCATTTTTGGAGCAAGTTTGGCGGGAGATAATAGAAAAGCAGTTAATGCTAGACTCTGCTGGAAAGATCCCTGAGGCCAGAGGAGCTGCTTTGGCCAGATCTCTCTGTTTTCCATTAGCATTTGCTCCAGGCCAGGGGCCCGTGGCTGGGGCAACCCTCACTTATCTCCACGTAGGCTGCTAAAAAGCCACAATGAGAAAGTGCAGTGGATTCAGTTCCACAGTCTTAACAACCTTTAAAACACTTTGCTACTGCATAGCTATAGCTCTGTAGTCTGTTAAGGCGAAGCAAGAGGACACATACAGATGATTTCAATACTTTGGGCACCATACAGCCACCAATAAAATATTTCCTAGATAAGACCCTTGTGGCTACGAGGGTTTCGTGACCTCATTTTGATTTATTTGCTTATGGGTGTTCATAAGGTCTGTAACTTTTCCCCATAGCAGTGAAATGCCAGGTCTATAGGTGAATCTGAAGTTTATTTAAACGGGGATGTTTTATTATCCATCAATCTATGTTTTTTAAAAGGTAGTGCCAAAGATATTAAAATACAAACAAAATCCCCCAAAACCTTTAATCATAGTTCCTGTACCGTATCAGGTTGAAATATCTTCAGCCTGGGAATATCTGGTTATTTTTCCTTCCAGGTGTGCTGTGTAGGACTCGAGTGACGTGGTTCTTATTTGACAGACTGATGTTAATTTGTTGTGATGTGACAGGACGGGGCAGTTCAAATACCAACTTCACTGGCTTCATCTTGGTCTCCTTTCTTACCTCACATCCAACCCACTGGCAAATCTTAGAAATAGATCTGGAATCTGACCATTCTTATTATCCCCACTGTATGCACAAAGGCGTAAGTCATCAATATTTTTTACTCGACCATTAGAACAGTCTTCGAATTGTTCTGGTCTGTTCTCCACAGTGCAGCTCTTCTATCCTCAATGAGTCTGCTTTGGTGACCCCTTCCACGACTCTCCGTTTCATTCAGAATAAATTCCAAAACTTACCAAGGTTCTACTTTGTCCCCTTCCTGCACCCCACCCCCTCTTCTGATCCCATCTGTTAGTGCTCTCCCTTTGTTCACTGGATTTTAGCTACACTTTTCTCTTGTTTATTCCTCAAACATACCAAGCCCACTTCCACTCAGGGTCTTTGCACTTGCTGTTCCTTCTAGGTCGAATGCTTTACCCTTAGACAGATGCATGGCTCAATTTTTCACTTTCTTCAGGTCTCTGCTCAAGTGTCCGAGAGGCCTTCCCACATAAATATATTTCAAACAGCACGCTCCCTTTGCCGTCTCCTTACCCTACTTTATTTTTGTATGAATCACCATCTGACATAGTACGCACTTCCTGGCTGCCGGTGTTGATAATTGCCTTTTCTTCTACAGTGTAAGCTCCATGATAACGAGGACTTTGTATCTTGGTAACTATTATATCTTCTTTCCTTAGAACAGTGACTAGTACATTTATTATTCCTTATTGAGCCAATGGAATTAACGTCTCTTCTTGAGATCTTGACTTACCTTTCTTTTTGGGCAAAAAATAAACTTTCCAAATCTTAATTCCATAGCTTTACTTTTTTTTTTTTTTTTTGTAAATTTAGGATATTTCATTTTATTTTATGCTCAAGTGATTATGGGGGGGTTGGGAAGTTTGTCATTTATAGGGCAGGCAGGCAGGCTGGCGATTCAGGTAAGAATTGCAATCTTAAAAAAAAAAAAAAAGAATTGCAATCTTGAGTGTGAATTCTACAGGGCAGACAGGTAGGCTGGAACCTCGGACAAATTTCTGCGCTGCGCCTGTGAAGCTCAACTCATCATTTGGCAAACCTGTCTTTGCTCTTAAGGCCTCTAACTGATGAAGTTCACCCTGTCATACGAACTTGTAAAGATTCTGGCATTAGTGCCTCATTGACTTGTGGGCCAGCAATTTTAGCGGGGCTCAGCTGGAGGAATTTTTTTCTGCTCTGCGTGATGTTGGCTGCAAGAGCTGGTTTGATTTACAGGGTCCGGGATGGGCTCACCCACGTGCCTAAAACCTTGGTGGGAGGTCTAGAGGGCCGTGCGACCTCAGGGGGCTCTCCTTGTGGTCTTCCCAGTAGGGTAGCTGGACTTCTTACAGGGAGGCTCACAGCTCCAAGAGCCCGAGGTGCAAATGCCAGTTCTCTGAAGGCCTCGCCTAGAATCTTTCACAGTACAGCTTCTCCCAAACTCCACCGCTGAAAGCCACCAGAGATCAGCGCAGATACAAGTGGGGAGGGAATGAGGCTCCACCTCCGTGGGAGGAACGTGCAAGAGCTCGCGGCCCACAGCATCTGCGAGTGAGCAGACGCGTACCGGTGTCCTCTTGACACCCCCGTGGCTTTAACTTTTGAAGTCTTGGAGCTGTAATCTGTTCATTCTTGGTTCCAACCCCTTGGGTGGGTAAGCCGAGCTAGTGCAAGACCTGGGGGGGGGGGGGCAGTAACAGCTACTTAAGGGGTACTTAGGTTCTTGTCTTGAAGCACGTTGCTTATCTCGTTTAATTCTAACCTGGGTCCTGTTGATGAGTACTAGTACTGTTCTTGTGCTCACCTCGGGGGAGCTGAGGGAACTTGCTGCCACGTCACCGAGTTCATGGGGGGGGGTGGGGGGGTGGTGCGAAGATTAGGGCTCCGGCCTGCTCGGGGTCAGCTGCAGCAACACGTGCCCAGGTGCTCCCGGAGGAGAGTCTCGCGGCTCCGCTGGAGCCCCGGGGTCCCGGGGGGCGGGGGGGGGGTCTCCGGTGCCTCCCAGTCCGCAGTAGCTGCTCAGTATTGCGCAACGCCCTAACAGCCCTAACAGCCGGCGTCCCCGATGCCAGGCGAGGTTAGCGCAGAGGTAGTTTGAACCACCTGGTAGAAGAGGGTGGAATCGACACGCCGGGATCCGGGGGGCGCGGGGGGGGGTGCACCGGGGGAGCTCGCTGCTTGCACGCGGCGGCATGCACGTGCCAGCGGAGAGGGCGCAGGCTCCCGGGCAGCGGCCGCCCGGGGCTCGGGGGTTGCCGGGCGGCGGGGCCCGGGCGCGGGAGGAGGAGCCGGCGGCCGCCCCGCCCCGCCCCGCTCCTCGGGGCTGCCGGGATGTTTACACCGCTGACAGCGGCGGCCGCGGGAGGAGGGGCGGGAGGCGCGGAGGATGGGCCGCCGCTAGGCTCGCCCTCGGGCCGCGCCTCGCCGTGCGCAGGGAGGGGGCCGCGCCGGCAGCGTCCGCGGGGGCGGCGCGGCGGCGGGAGGTGGCGATCGGCTCCCGGCCTCGCAGCCACAGCCCCCGGCCCAGCGGGCCTCTCCGCGGCGCCGCCCGGCCCAGCCGCCCCGGGGCCCCCGGCGGGCAGGAGCGCCGGAAACTTCCAACTTCCCGGTGAGTGGCTGCCGGGGGCTCGGGCGCCCGGGGCCGAGCGGGGCTGCCCGCGGGAGGCGGGCGCGGAGGGCGAGGTCGGGAGGCGCGGGCGGCCTGCGGGATCCCCCGGCGGGGCGGCGGGGCGGCGGGGCGGCGGGGCGGGGCGGGGCGCGCCGGGCGGGGGCGGGCGCGGGCGGCAGGAGCTCGGTGCCCCGCTCGGGCTTGGCGGCCCCGGGCTGCCGTGGGCGCCGCCGTAACTAAGAAGCTCCGCGGCGGCGGCGGGCGGCGGCGGCGGCAACAGGTCTCTGGTTGCAGGACCCGAGGAACTTGGGAGAAGTCCCGCCTCCCGGCCCTCGGCTGCTGCTCATTGGCGGCGCCGGTTATTTATCCGTCGCTGATTGGTTGGGTCCGGCTGTCAGGCTTCGGCGGCGGCCCGACTTCGGAGGAGTGAAGTTCGCGGGGCAGAGTGGGCGGGGGGAGCGGCGCGGCCGAGGGAGTAGCCGACGGAGTAGCTGAGGTCGCCTGAGAAGTGCAGGGAGGATGGCCGACCCGGCGGGGAGTGGGGTTTCGTGGGACCCCGCTAGATTTAGCAGGTGTGTGTGTGTGTGTGTGTGTGTGTGTGTGTGCGCGTGAGATGGCGAGGCAATAGAGAACCTTGGTGGTGATGGTGGCAATGCAAAAATAAGTTGAGAACTGAGGCCGAAGCCAGGGAGACCAAGGGGACCCCCATAAAAAAAAAAAAAAAAGAGAAGCCCACATTGCCGTAGCACGGTGCCAGGAAGGAACACAACCTACAGGATGCTGCAGTGGGTGCTGGAGAACTCGAGTTGCCTCTTTGCGGTGCCCTGCAGGCCTTGGGAGATGATGTGTCCGACAGGTAAATCGTGGTCTCGCGTGGCTGTACTCCTGGTTACGCATAGGTACTGAAAATAGACTTATTTTACGGGAGGGCATGTCGCATCCTTGGGCAGCCCTGCAGACGGGACTGGAAAGCCTGAAAACATTACAAGAACGAAATGATTTTTTCCCTGCTCCGACTACTGACCGTGAGGATGCTGTTGTAAGAATCGAGGGCGCGTAGTTCGTAGAGCGTCGCGTACCTGTCACTAACCAGAACGACTGCTTCTGACTCTTCCCCCCAAGAGTTTGCAGCGTCGAGAAAGGACGCGCACTCCCTGCAGGCACCGGTAGTGTGTCCTGTGAGGTCGCCCTACAGGCTAGAGGACGGAACGCGTGCGTGGTGGTGACTGCGTGCGGGAGCTCGAGCTGCCGCGGGTGTGGCCGGAGGACGGCTCTGCAGAGGGACAGGCGGACAGGACAGGGCGCTGGGAGCGGTGGGTGATCGATCAAGCAGGAGGCACTATCAGCGCTTGCTGAACGGACGCCGAGTATTGCGGGCTTTAGTACTTGGCCAAGGCCAGCGCACCGGGAGTAGCTAACGTAAACCCTAAGCACCCTAAGTGTCCCTCCCAGGGGCAGGAATCCTCTGCTGCCCGCGGGGGATCCAGTCCACAGCTTGCTTCGTCCCTAAAACCGCAGCATCTCTCCGGCCGGTCCGGGTCGAGGCGCTGGCTGGGGTGGGGGGAGAGGTGTGGGCGCTGTGAGACGCTGCCGCGTGGAGGAGTGTGACCCGCACGTTGAGAGGAGGTTCCTCCCCCTCCACCACGCCCCCCCCCCCGCCCCCCGAGTGGAGACTGGCGGCCTGTCTGGGCTGGGGAGCGCCGCCGCGACCCGGGGCGACGTGCGGGCCTGTGCCGCTGCTCCCCCCGGCCTCCCCCCGCCCTCCGGAGGCCCCGCCCCCCCCAGCTCCACCCCGGAGGCCCCGCCCCCGGAGGCCCCGCCCCCCCGCAGCTCCGTCCCCGGAGGCCCCGCCCTCCGCAGCACTGACGGCCCCCGCAGCCAATGAGCGGCGAGGACGCCGCGGTCTCCGCTCGGGAGGGCGGGTACTTCCTACCTGGGTCGCGGCCCTGGAGGCGGGAGAGAAGGTCCTCCTGGAGGGATGCGGGCTGGCGGACGGGCTCCGGCCTGAGGCCCCGCGACCAGCCGCGTGGGATCCAGGCGAGGAGGCTGCGGTTTCCTCCCACTCCCCCCACCCCGTGGCCCCGTCTCTCGTTTCTTCCTGGAGCAACGCCCCGCCGCGTCCGAGGCTGTGCAGCGGCCACGAAAGGAGGGTGGTCCGCAAGCCGGACGCCCAGGTGGACCGGTGGCAGGTGTCCTCTGACGTCACGAGGGAACGAAAGCCGCGGAGCGTCACAGTCTGAGCTGTTGGGCTTTCTCCCACAGCTACCTGGGCATCTGGGCACGGTTTTAAAGAATCTTTTTTATCGACCTGAAAAGAAAAGAGCGTTAACTTTGGGTGCAGGTGTAGGCCGTACTCGCAGCTGCCGTTTTGGGGGGGGGCGGTTAATGGATGGGGGGGTCCCACCTGTAGCTCCCGACGTGCCTCTTCCCACTTAACACACGTTTCCCGGCCGTGCAGTTTGCAGAGCTCCTTTCCCGCCCCGTAACCCAGCCCTTATTCCAAGAATGCGAAAAGCACGCCTGGAATGATGGCAGCAGCGCGCAGGTGGAGGAGGGGGGCTTCCGGCCCGGGGAGCAGACCCAGGTCCCAGATGAGGAGCCTCGGGATTGTCCTTTTGAAGGGCCGGACGCGCAGTTGTAGGCTGGGTAAGTAAGTGTGCAGCCTCACGCTCCACCCCTCCGTCCTCCTCGCCCTCGCCGCGGACGCTTCGGGGCCCTCCTTTATCACAAGCGCTTGGGTAGCCTCCTCTCCTCCTCTTCTCACCTGTTGCTCTTTTTTTTTTTTTAACTGAAACCTACATTTCTTTTCATTTAAAGATGTGGTCTGACGTGCCATTAGAGACTTGCACAGAGTTTCTGGAAGCAAACTCCTGTTTTTAAAAATCTTAGGAGTATTCCTAAAGTAGCCCCCCCCCCCCCATGGGGTGTCTGCACAGGAGAGAATAGTGATTATTTGAATGGGATTTTGGGAGAGACGTTGCTTAATTAGATAGGCCGCAAAATTCCTTTGATTTTTTTTTCTTCTTCTTTTTTGTTTTTTAATAAGCTTTGGTATTTTATTTTATTTTATTTTATTTTATTTTATTTTTATGATAGAGAGAGAGAGAGAGAGAGAGGCAGAGACACAGGCAGAGGGAGAAGCAGGCTCCATGCACCGAGAGCCCGATGTGGGATTCGATCCCGGGTCTCCAGGATCGCGCCCTGGGCCAAAGGCAGGCGCCAAACCGCTGCGCCACCCAGGGATCCCAAGCTTTGGTATTTTAAAAACAACTTGCTTTGCAGCTGCAGTTGCACAAAGCTGCACTCTGTCCACATTCCTGGTTTCCTTCACTTAAAATATCTGTCCCTCCAGATATTTATGTGCTCTAGTTAGTATATTATATATAAAGCATGGCAGGCAGTGCACTTAGCATAATACCTGAGGGTGTCTCGGAAATGACATAGGATTATTGTTTGCTCCGAATTGCTTTATCGATTATTTTATCGAAACACTTCCACAAATATATAGTTAGATGTTTTAAGTGTTTCTTCATACTTTTGAATGTTTCTATTTAATTCCTCCTCCCCTCATTTTTTTTTTTTTAAAGATTTTATTTATTTGTTCACGAGAGACACAGAGACAGAGAGAGGCAGAGACACAGGCAGAGGGAGAAGCAGGCCCCATGCAGGGAGCCTCACATGGGACTCGACCCCGGGACTGGGACCAGGGACCCGGCCTGGGCTAAAGGCAGACGCTAAACCACTGAGCTGCCCAGGCGTCCCTCCTCCCAGTTTTATAGAGAATATGGGTGAATAACATTTGGTTATATAATTGTAATGAGACGTATTTATTTGCAGGATATAATGGCAGTTGAGAATTTTTAAATTATATGTAAAACCAGTGTATAGCAATTCACTCTTAGAGTTGTAAAAACTTCTAAACTCCCGATCCCTCTTTGGGTGACTAATAGCTTGATTACCTCTGTATGTTACAGATCTCTATAAAATATTTTTTCATTCTCATGAAAACACTCAAAAGATTGTATTTCATGGTTTTTAGTGAACAGTGGGAACGAGAAGGGGAGATGATCATGAAGCATTTTCTAATTTTCTTGTGCAGGAAATTTTTTAACCCTTGTCAGAATAACTGCTCTGTCAGACTATTTAGATCATGTGCCTACATTTGAGGGTTTTTTTGGTGAAGATTTTATTTATTTGAGAGAGAGCACAAGTGGTGGAGGGTTGGGGGGAGTAGCAGAGGGAGAGGGAGAAGCAGGCTCTCTGCTCCTTGGGGAGCCCAACGCGAGGCTGATCCCAGGACCTCAGGATCATGACCTGAGCCAGAAGACAGCGGCTTAACCTGCTAAGCCACCCAGGCACCTCCAGTGAGCTGTTTTGTAATAATTATCCAAGATGTTAATCAAAACAGTGGATAAATGAATGGAACCTCTTAACTGGTCTGTACACATTTAGAAATACATGTTTTTTTGTTACTTAATAGAAGTGGACCTTCCTGTAGATCTTGCCACTGGTCTTCTGTTGATAATCAATGTAAGTAAATACTTAAGGGTTTTCATTCCAGGCTGCTTTTGTATAAAACAGGGGTTTGTAAAATTTCTCTGTAAAGGACCAGATAGTAACTATTTCTTGTCTTGTGGAGCCATATGGCCTGTCTCATTGTAGTCTGAACAGGTGGTCATTGCTGTATTCCAGTAAAGCTTTATTTATACGAGTAGGCTGGAGGCCCACCCCGGGTCTAGACGATAATTAATACCAAAGATCTCAATATGATTCTGGGCCATTGATGTTTGACTTGATTTTCTGCAGCAGTATTTTATAGCCTTTTTTGGTTCTGGAACGCAGAGCCCTGAAATCAAGACCTGAGCTAAGATCAAGAGTCTTGATACTTAACCAAGCTAGCAACCCAGGCGGCCCTGTCCTTTTTTGGTGTTAGATGTTTGGTGTTAGATGTGTTAGATTTGTGACAATCTCTTGATGTTTCCCAATCCCCTCGGAATAATATTCATATCCCAGTATTCATATCCAGTTTTGTGTTTCATCTCAGAGACTTTATAAGTATATGAACCTCTTTTGGATTTATTTATCTTTTCAGGGTTTTGTACCATTCTTTGCTTTTTGGGGATTCCACACCCATCCTGTGACATTGAAAGAATATGTACCTCTTCGGGCTTCTTCCTTACTAAACCAGGATGAACTCTGGTGTCCTATATTTAGTCTTTGCTTGATTGGCAGATAACTGTATTTTTTTTAAGACTTTATTAATTTATTTGAGAGAGAATTTATTAGGGAGAAAGCGAGTGTGCCCATGAGCAGGGAGAGGGAGAAGCTGACTCCCCCCCCCCCCCAGCAGGGACCTGAAGTGGGGCTCGATCCCAGGACCCCAGGATCATGACCTGAGCCCCGACAGATAACACTAATATATTTTGATGTGTTTCTTTAACCCATAGTTTTCATTTGAACCTATCGGAATGACCGCTTCCATTGTTGCTTTTAGAAGGAGTTTCTGGCCTCAGCAAGAGGGTGGGCAAATTTTTTTTTTTAAAGAAAAAATGGATTTTGTCTTTTATAAAAGACTTTTTCCCCAGGTTTTTTTTTTTTTTTTTTTTTTTTTTTAAATACAGGAAAGGGCCTGTGTTTGTGGGAGGGCCTGCAGTAGGGTGTGTCTGGCCTGGGGGTGTGCAGGGTACCTCCTGCCTTTGTTTGAAGAATTGGCTGTAGGCTGACCTGGGTGCAGCTACTGGGAAACCTGAGAACGGAATGGAATGAAAAGTGTAGCCCTGTAGCTGCTTTGACCTCACCCAGTGGAGTTTCCAGGCCCTGGCCAGGAGTGGGTCCTGGGTGCGCCTGGGTGCTCAGTCAGGTAGTCCCCCTGGGCCTTCCAAGGGCCCACCAGGCTAGTGCAGCCTCTTTGATGGGACCTGCTGCGCGAACATCATTTTCTGTGTTTTCCATGAAAAAGACTAAGCCCAGCTTGGTCTCCTTGGTTGCCTTACTGGATTTGCTGGGACTGTAGTTTTCTCCGCTCAGGTACCATCGCTTTGAGGAGTGACTGTAAAAACCTGACGGTCGGCCCCAAGCGTTAGTTTCATTTCACCTCTTGCTGTTTTTAGGACCTTCAGCGGTAGGAAACACATCTGCTGTTCTCAGTTTCTTGCCCGCTCTGCCTTGGCCCAGCTCTATGTGGTCGGGCTCCTGCCTAGCTCTCTTGCCATTTCTGCCTTCTCTGCTTGGATTCTTCTTCCCCTTTGCCCTGTGATTTCCATATTCATAATTCAGTGGTTCCCACGTTTGAGTTAATATTTTCCTGTTGTTCTGAGCGTGGGGAGAAGACATCAAACCTGGGTTCCTCAGGCAGGAAAAAACACATGAGGCCTGTGGGCTATACTTCGGACAGTAAAAAACGGGAGTCGCAAAAAGATCCTTAAATACTGATTAAACACGGCAAAATTAAAAATATTCTTTCTACTAGTCCTACAACGTTGCTTGTTTTTTTTTTTTTTAATTGTAGGAATATTTTCCTCATCTTCTCATATTTACCTGGCAGATTAATGTAAATTTGTTGTGGTTGTAACCATAACAGAGCCACATATCCACTTTTACATCATGATTGGGAAGATTGAATCGATACGTTTACAAGAAGTTATTGTACTTCTGAAAAGTAAGGAATTGCAAATCTTCCATTGCTTTTTATATCTAACTGGTGGGCCATATAGTAAAATACTGTGATAAGTTGCATACTATCACCCAGAACTGGACAGTAGGTAATTTTTTTAGGCAAATGACATGTCCTTATCCAAACGGTCTATTTCCAGGCATGGTTTGTTGTTTAACAATTACATGTAAATTGAGGGATATGCAGGAAGAAAGCTTATTGATGGATTGAATTTATGGGAAAAATGATGTTTTATTTCAGTTTCTTAAGGCAGCCTACAAATTCATTTCTTTTGTTTTCCTTACAGTTTTTGGTGTTAGAACACATTAAGAATGTGTTCAGTAAAAACTGGCATTTTTTAACATCTTCAACTTTAGATATACTAAAGGTTTTTTTTCCCCAAAAGTAAAGTTTTAATACAGTTTCTGTATATATGTATTTTTAAGATTTTATTTATTCATGAGAGTGAGAGAGAGAGAGAGGCAGAGACACAGGCAGAGGGAGAAGCAGGCTCCTTGCGGGGAGCCCGTCGTGGGACTCAATCCGGGTATCCAGGATCACGCCCTGAGCCGAAGGCAGATGCCCCACCGCGGAACCACCCAGGCATTTCTGTATTTGATAAATATTTTCATTGTTGAATGGCGTGTTGTTTTCCACTTCGCTTGATCATTATGTGACCTTGAGTGTTTAAAGTACTAGCTAGCTGTTGATAAAGAATTAAATCTTATTAGGCAGTTCTCTTATACTTTGATCATTCTCTTTGTTCTTATAAGTAGGAAGGAATTTATGACATTGTTTAATAGTGTATGATGGTTGCAGGGCACAGGGTGGGGGTGGCCGT